TCTTTTTTACATTGGGATTTTAGAGGATGGTTGTGGTATTTTTATTAAATTTTGTTGTAGACTCATAAATTGCAGGGATTAAAAATGAAATATAGATTTTATTTGCTTCTGGAAATCTTAGTATTTGTTGTTTTCTCTTTTCCTTGGAATTGTTAGTTACATTAAAAATTGGAACATGTTATTTTTATGGAGAGTCTTACAGGCTATTGCAGGCATACTCTTTTGTTTATTCTTGAAAAGACAGTACGTTTTGAATGTACCTTGCTAAGTGGGGAACTGACTGCTTGTATTACCGATGGTTATACAAAGATTTTTGTACAGTTCCTCAACACGCTGAATTATGAGGCTGTGTGAATGTGTGTGTGTGTGTAAACTCTAAGCTCCTTGATGTTTGTGATAATTAGTTATGTTTTGAAACTTCTATATGTTATGAATTTTTCTTGTATTTTACATTTTTAGAAAATGTCCATAGATCACCTGACTTTATAGTTACACCTTAGATTATTTGCAGCTGAACCTTACTTAACCCCAAATGTGTAAGTGCTTAGAATAGAGTCACCTGTATAATTTTAGTTGCCCATTAATGGCAGCGGGTACTAATATTTGTTGAGAGTCTACTATTTTAAATAATAGTGTTATGAAGTTATTATTAATTACTGTAATGTAATTTTGTATTTAGTTTGCTTCCAAATCTGAAGTATTTAACACTGACTTTGTTAATTCCTTGGATGTTAAAGTTTGCTCCTTAATGATGTAGTTTCTAAGTATTTCCCAGTTTTTCAGTAAGTTCTAAAGAATGTTTAAAAATCATTAAATAAAATTACCTATATTAGCGTTTGGATTCAGCTTAAATTTTGTTTAAAGTTAGGAATATCTTACAGTAAAACATTTTCAATAATCCTTTGTTTTAAGCAATATATTCTTCTTCTAGAAATACGGAAACAACAGTAGCTAAAATACTTCAGATTGATAGTATTAGCTGAATTGATGTTGAATGTTTTGCACTGGTGACCTCTAGTGGTCTTGCAGTTTAAAAAATTGTTCTGTCAATGTTAAGTAATTTTTTTAGATTCTCATGTGATAATCACATACTGATTGTTGAATAATTCAGGTGATAAAATATGGTCCCAGTGGGTACCGTTTATCTATATTCAGAGGAAAAAGTTATCTTAAAAATCAATAAGATTTTGTTCCTCTGAATTAAGTAAGATTGGTTGTGGAAACAAATTTGTAAAAGTTCATTTCTGCCTTACAGTGTGTTTATAGTAATTAATTCCAAGGTAATAATCTAGTCACTTCTATACTCTTGAAATCAAATAATTAAAAACATTAGGATTAGTTGACTTGGGCGAATTAAAAAATGAAAATTTATGGTTATTTTTAAAGTTTATCCTTTATTGAAGTTACTACATATTCCATTCTTGAACCTTTTTCTCCTCTTAACTAAAGGACCTAGGTCTTTGACCTTATCTTCACAGTAAAGATATACTTCTTAAGTCTAACTCTTAAGAGTGAAATTAATTTTTTAAGGATTTTAAAATTGTGAAATATAATTTATATTCAAAAGAAGTGTGTCAGATATAATTGCACAGGTTAGCTAGTTATTATAAAAAGAACAACCACATAGCACTCTTGGAGAGATCAAAAATTAGAGCACTGCCAGCACCCCAGAATCCTTAAAACTTGCCCCATCCAAATTATCACTGTCTCCTTCCCTCACAGGGGTGACCACTATCTTGACTTTTGTTTAATCTTTTCCTTGCTTTTCTTTTTTCATATGTTAAGTTTTTTTTTATATTTAAGCATGCATTTTTCAAATGTATTAGTTTAGTTTTGCCTGGTAGTGAACTTTATGTAACTGGATCATATAGAATTCTGTCTTTTGTGTCTTACTTTTTTCCTCAACATTATATTGGCTCATCTTTGTTATGTGTAGATTTAGTTTGTTCATTTACTTTGCTCAACCTTAATAGATAATACAAAACTTTCTAAAAAGACTATACCAGTTTATGGTCCCATAAGTCATTTATGAGAGTTTCTGTTGATTCATATCTTCCTCAACAAATAATATTGTCAGATTAAAACATTTTTAGCCAATTTGGTGTTGTATTACTTTACTGTATTTTTAGATTGTATTTCTCTGAATGCTAATGACATTGAGAAGTGTTTAGTATCTTGATTCGCCATTTTGATAACTTGTGGCCTGGTATTGTCAGTTTTTTTATACTATTTCTACCAGGCTGGTTGTTTTTGTTTTGTTTTGTTTTGTTTTTTGGTTGTTAGGAGCAGATAGGAATTATATATTATATATATGAACCCATTCTCAGCTATATGTTTTGCAGATTTCTTCTTCCATCTGGTTTGCCTTTTTTAAAAAAGGCTTAGAAATAGTTTTTAAAACTTGTGCTAAAAAGAAAATATTAACTTTTCTTAAGTGTACAATTTAGTAGTGTTAAGTATATTCACATTGTTGGGAAACAGATCTCCAGAATTTTTTCATCTTGCAAATCTGAAACATTAAACTCAGTAAACAATTCCTCTTTCCCTCCTTCCTCCTCACCTTGTAACCAGCATCCTACTTTCTCTGTCAATTTGACTACTTTAGATACCTCTTAAAAGTGAAATTATACAGTTGTTTTTTTGACTGCCTCATTTGACATAGCATATCCTAAAGTTTCATTCATGTAGCATGTGGCAGGTTTTCCTTCCCTTTTAAGACTGAATAATATTTCTTTGTATATACCACATTTTGTTTATCCATTCATCAGTTGATAGACACTAGTGTTGCTTTCATGTCTTGGCTACAGTGAATTAGGGCAGTTGTGAATTTGGATGTACAGTATCTTTTCAAGACCCTGCTTTCAATTCTTTTGGATATATACCTAGAAGTGAAATTGGTGGATTATACGGTAGTTCTGTTTTTAATTTTTTGAGAAGCCTCCATACTGTTTTACATAATGGTTGCATCTTATTATAATCCCACCAACCATGCACAAGAGTCCAAATTTTTCCACAACCCCACCAACACTTGTTAATTATTTTGAACAATTTTAGATTTACAGAAAAATTAAGTGGATTTTTGACAGATCTCCCATAATATGCTGTGAGGCTGCAGCCCACCCTTCTTCAGTTTTCCTGTTATTAACATCTTGCAGTAGTGTGGTACATTTGCTCAGTTAACCAATTTTGATACATTATTATTATTAATGTTTGTCCATAGTTTAAAGTTCATTGTGTTGTACTGGTTTTTCAGTTTTGGCAGATGCATAATGTCGTGGATCTACCATTATAGTACCATATAGAGCAGTTACACCATCCCTAAAAATTCCCTGTGCTTCATCTGTTCATCTTCCTTACCCCCAAATGCTTGGCAGCCACTAATCTTGTTGCTATTTCGATAGTTTTACCTTTTCTGAAATGTCATATAGTTGGAATTACGCTGTATGTACCCTCTTCACACTGGCTTCTTTCACTTAGGAATATCCATTTAAGATTTTTCCATGTCTTTTCATGGCTTGATAGCTCATTTTTTTTTTATTGATGAGTAATGTTCACTTGTATGGATGTACCAGAGAATAAACAAAATCCATTCACCTATTAAAGGGTATCTTGGTTGATTTCAAGACGATTATGATTAAAGAAGCGACGAACATTCATGTTCAGATTTTTGTGTGGACACAAGTTTTTTGGCTAATTTAAATAGGTACCAAGGAGCATGATTGCTGAATCTTACAGTAAGAGTATATTTAGTTTGTAATGAACTGCCAAACACTCCCTAAAGTGGCTGTACCATTTTTGCATTCCCATCAGCAGTGAAAGAGTTTGTGCTGCTTCACAAACACTGGCCAGTGTTTTGGATTTCAGCCATTCCCATGGATATGTAGTGGTATCTCTTTTTAATTAGCGTATTCCTGATGACACTGATGTGGAGCATATTTTCATATGCTTGTTTGCAGTCTATATAACTTCTTTGGAGAAGGGTCTGTTCAGATCTTTTGCGCTTTTAAAAATTGGATTGTTAATAAGAGTTAGTTGTTAATAGTTGTTTTAAGAACTTTTGGTGGGTTTTGGATACTGGTCCTTTATCAGATACGTATTTTGCGAATACTTTCTCCCAGTCTGTGGCATGTCTTTTCATTTTCTTAACAGTGTTTTTGCAGAGCAGAAGTGAAGTGTTTTCAATTTCTAATAAAGTCTAACTTAACCATTTTTTCAATGCATCATGTGTTTGGTTTTTGTATTTAAAAAGTTATTACCAAACTCAAGATGACCTAGATTTTCTCCTGTGTTATTGTCTAGAAGTTTTGTGGTTTTATATTATACATTTAGCATGTATTATTATATGCTTGTGTATAGTATATATATGTATATACACAGTGTATATAAGCATATGTATATATTCATTGATCTGTATATATAGATATAGTAAGTCTTAAAGTCTGGTGGTGTCAGTCTTCTGACTTTGTTCTTCTGTGTTGTGTTCATTATTCTGGGTCTTTTGCCTTTCTGTATAAAGTTTAGAATCACTTTGTCAATATCTACGAAATAACTTGATCGTGGTTTTTGTTGAGATTGCATTGAATCTACAGGTCACGTTGGGGAGACCTGATGTCTCAAATTATTGAGTCTTCCTATCCATGTTCATTGAATATCTCTCCATTTATTTAGATTTTTCATCAGTTTTTTGTTGTTGTCCTCATGAGATCTCTGTGCATCTTTTTGTTAGATTTATACTTAACCTTTTAAGAGCTAATATAAATGATATTTTGTTTCAGTTTCAGTTTTCAAATTCCAGTTGTTCGTTGTTGGTATATAGAAAGGTAGTTAATTTTTGTATGTTATCTTTGTATTCTGAAATCTTGCTGTAATCACTTATTAGATCCAGGAGGGTTTTTGTTGTTGTTGTTATTGTTAATTCTTTGGAATTTTCTATGTAGACAGTCATGTCATCTGCAGTCTTTTCTTCTCAATCTGTATAATTTACATTTTTCCATTTTTTTTTTGAAATGGAATGCTTCATGAATTTGCATGTCATCCTTGTGCAGGGGCCATGCTTATCTTCTTTGTACCATTCCAATTAAAATGTTTTTTACTTACTTGTTGCATTTGCTAGGACATTGAGTATGATGTTGAATAAAAGTGATGAAAGGGGATAGCCTGTCTGTGTTCCCCATCTTAAGAGCGGAAGCATCTAGTTTCTTACCATTAAATAGGATATTGAGCTATAAGTTTTTGGTGGATGATCTTACCAGTTGTGGAAGTTCCCCTCTGTTCCTAGTTTATCGAAAGTTTTTGTCATGGATTGGTGTTTGATTTTGTCTGATGCTTTTTCTATATTTATTATTGTGGTCATATCCTTTTTCTTCTTTAACTTGTTTAGCCAATTGACGATAGATTGCATAAATAGATTTTCAAATGTTGAACCAGCTTTGCCTACCTGAAATAAATCCCACTTGTTTTAAAATTCTTTGTATATACTGTTGGATTCAGTTTACTTCAGTTAATATTTTGTTGATGGTTTTTGCATATATTTTCATGAGAGATTATTGGTCAGTAGTTTTCCTTTCTTGTGACATTTATCTGATTTTGATAGTAGGGTAAGGCTGGCTTTATTAAATGAGTTAGCAAGTGTACCCTCTGCTTCTATCGGGTAGAATAGGTTGTATAGAATTGGTATCATTTTTTTCCTTAAAAGTTTGGTAGAATTCACCATTGAACTCATCTGAGCCTGGTGCCTTCTGCTATGGAAGGTTATTATTGATTCAGTTTCTTTAATAGATACAGCTCTATTCGGAAGATGTATTTCTCCGGTGTGAAGTTCGGTAAATTTTTCAAGAAATTGTTCTATTTCATTTAAAGTACCAAGTTTGTGGGCATAGAGTTCATAATATTCCTTGGGATCAGTAGTGGTAGCCCTTCTTTCATTTCTGATAGTAATTTATGTTTTCCCTATTTTTCTTGGTTAGCTTGGCTAAAAAGTTGATCAGTTTTATTAATTTTTTCATAGAATCTTGTTTCGTTGATTATTGGCTTATTTTCAGTTTCATTGATTTCTGCTCTAATTTTTTTTTCTGCTTGCTTTAGATTTATAATGCTGTTCTTTCTCTACTTGCTTAAGATGGAAGCTAAATTGTTGATGTTAGATCTTTTCTAATGTCTACATTGACTGATGTAAGTTTCCCCATAAGAACTACTTTTTCTGCATTCCACAAACTATGATGTTTTATTTTTGTTTCCATTTAGTTAAAAATACTTAAAAATGTATGCTGATACTTCACTGACTCGTGTTTTTCAACAGTATGTTGTTTAATCTTCATGTATTTTGAGGTTTTCCAACTATCTTACTGATTTGTAGTTTAATCCATTGTGATCCAATAGCTCGTACAAATGAAATAATACAGAATTACAAAAAGGCAAAAAAAAGAGGGGATGATAAAGAAGCAAAGAACAAGTGCAACAAATAGAAAACAGTTATGAACATGGCAGATGTTAATCCACCTGTATCAGTAATCACTTTAAATGTGGAGTTAAAGCCAATTAAAAGACTGTCAGAATAGAGAGCACATTTGTATGATTTCTAATGTTTTATATTTGTTAAAGTGTGCTTAATAGTCCAGAATGTGTCCTGTCATGGTGAATGTTCCATGTGACCTTGGGAAGAATGTATATTCTATAGGTGTCAATTTCCTGATTTTCTGTATACTGCATCTGTCAGTTACTGATAGAAGGATGTTGAAGTCTCCAGCTGTAACAGTGGCTTAGTCTATTTCTCCTTGCAGCTCTCAGTTTTTGCCTCACATATTTTGACACGCTACTTGTTAGATGCATTCATGTTAAGGACTTTTATGCCTTCTTGATGAATTGACCTCTTCATCATTATGTAATGTTTCTCTTTAACCTTAATAATTTTCCTTGGTCTGAAGTCTGTTTTGTCTGAGATTAATGTAGCTGCTTCGTCTTTCTTTTGATTATTGATGTAGTAAGATTAGCATCTACCATGTTTGTAATTGTTTTCTCTTTGTTGGACTAATCCATTCATCTGTTGATGGACACTTGAGTCAGTTGCTTCTAGGTTTTAACTATTATGAGTAGTGCTACTATTAACATAAGTGTACAAATAGAGCAGGCTTTCAAGTCTTTGGGTGTATACCCAGGAGTGAAATTGCTGGGTTGTAGGTAGTTCTATTTTTAATTTTTGAGGAACGACCATACTGTTTTCCACAGTGGCTGTACGATTTTATGACACCAACTATACATAAAGGTTCCAAATTCTTCAAATTCTCACTAACACCTGTTTTGTTTGTGTGTGTGTGTCTGTGTGGTCTTTTTTCTTTTTTGTTGTTGTTATTTTTTAATAGCCATTCTAATAAGGGTGCTGTCTCATTATGGGTTTGGGTTTGGGGTTTTTTTTTTTTCTCTCTCATTCTCCAATGATTAATGATGTTGAGTGTCTTTTTTTTTTTTTTTTTTTTTTTGCTTACTGGTTGTTTGGTTACCTTCTGTGGAGAAATAATCTATTCAAGTCCTTTGCTCATTTTTGAATTGAGGCTTTTTTGTTGTTGAGTTTTAGGAGTTTCTATATAATCTGGATATTCATCTTAATCAGATACATGATTTTCACTTATTTTCTGCCATTCCATAGGTTGCTTTTTCACTGTGTTGATAGCATCCATTTATGTGCAAAAGTTTTACATTTTCATCAAGTCCACTTTGTCTATTTTTCATTTTCTTACCTGTGTCTTTGGTCTTATATCTAAGAAATCATTGCTAAATCCAGTGCTGTGAAACATTTCTCCTATGTTTTTCTTGTAATTTTATAGGTGCAGGTCTTTGATCCCTCTTGAGTTAATTTTTGTGTATGTGGTTAGGTAACAGTTCAACTTGATTCTTTTGCTTGTAGATACTCAGTTTTCCCAGTACGATGTGTTGAAGAGACTGTTCAATCCCTGCTGTATAGTCTTCAAATCTTTTTGAAGGTCATTTGACCATATATGTAAGGATTTATTTCTGTTTTCTCTATTCTGTTCCATTGTTACATATGTCTGTCTTTTTGCTAGTAGCATACTACATTGATTACTGTTGCTTTGTAGCATGTTTGGAAGTCAGGAAGTGTGAGGTCTCCACCTTCGTTCTTTTTCAAGGTTGATTTTGCTCTTTGAGGGCCCCTTGAGCTTCCATGTAAATTTTAGGATGGATTTTTCTGTTTCTGCAAGGAGTGTTACTGGGATTTTGATAGGGATTGCACTGAATCCATAGATAATTTTGGGTAGTATTGATATTTTAATACTACTATAATTTCCAATCCATAAATGTGGAATTGTTTCCACATATTTATGTCTTTAATTTATTCAGCAACGATTTTTAGTCTTCGTTATACCAGTCTTTCACCTCCTTGTTTAAATAACTAAGTATTTTGTTCTTCTTGATGCTATTGTAAGTGAAATTTTTTCAAAATTTCCTTTCATGATTGTTCATTGGCAGTATAGTATAGAGTTCATTTATTGAAGTGCTTTTGATTTTTGTGTGTTGACTGTGTCCTGGTATTTTGCTGAATTTGTAGCCTTAGCAGACTTCTGTGGACTCTTTTGGGTTTTCTACATCTAAGAACATACCATCTGTTAAGAGAGATAATTTTACTTCTTCCTTTCTAACTTAGATTCCTTTCATTTTTCTTGCCTCATTGTTCTGGCTGTGACTTCTAGTACTTTGTTGAACAGGAGTATTGAAAGCAGGCATTCTTGCCTTGTTCTGATTTTTGAGAGAAGGTTCTCAGTCTCTCACCATTGAGTTTGATGTTCGTTGTGAGTTTTTTATATATGGCTTTTATTTTATTGTGTTGGGATAGTTTCCCTTTACTCCTGGTTTGTTGAGTGGTTGTTTTTTTTTTAATCATGAATGTGTTCAGTTTTTTCATATTCTTTTTCTGCATCAATTGAATGGTCATATGCTTTTTGCCTTTTATTCTGTTAACATGATGTATTATATCCATTGATTTTTTTCTGTTGAACCATCCTTGCATTCCAGGAATAAACCTCACTTGGGCATGATTTGTAATCTTTGTAATATGCTCCTGAATTTGATTTACTAGTATTTTGTTGAGAGTTTTTGCATCAGTATTTATAAGAGATATTGATCTGTGGTTTTTTTGCGGTGTCTTTATTTACCTTAGGCTTTTGGGACAATACTGGCCTTATTGAATTAAGGAATATCCACACTTACCTGGAAATATTTTAGAAAGACTGGTGTTAATTCTTTAAATGTTTAGTAGAATTCACTAATAAAGCCGTCAGTCCAGAGTTTTCTTGTTGGGACATTTTTGATTGCTGATTCAATTTCTTTATTAGCTATAGGCCTTTTCAAAAAAATTTTTTTTCATTATTCAGTCTTGGTAGGTTTTGTTTATAGATTATCCAGTTTGTTGGTATACAGTTGGTCATAGTATTCTCTTATAATCCTTTTTACTTCTGTAGAATTGATTGTAATGTTCCCACTTTCACTTCAAAGTTCAGTAATTTGTGTCTTTTTTCTTAGTTCAGGTAATAGTTGTCAAATTTGTTGATCTTTTTGAAGAACTAAGTTTTGATTTTGTTAATTTTTTTCCCCTGTTTTCCTCTTTTCTATTTCACTTCTCTACTTTAATCTTTATTATTTCTTTCTTTCTGCTAGCTTTGGGTTTAGTTTGTTCTTGTTCTAAAATTCCTTAAGTTTTAAAGTTATATTATTGATTTGTGATAATTTTTGCTTTTTAATGTAAGTCTTTATAGCTATAAATTTTTCTTTTAGCACTGCTCTTGTGGTGTCCCTTAAGTTTTGGTAAGTTGTGCTTTCATTTTCGTTCTTAAGTATTTTCTAATTTTCCTTTTGATTTCTTTGTTCTATTAGTTGTTCAAGAGTGTGTTGTTTAATTTCCACAAATTTGTGACTTTTTCAAATTTTCTTTCTGTTACTGATTTCTAACTTGATCCATTGTGGTTACAGAAAATTTTAAATGATCCATTTTAAAATTGATTAGGCTTAATTTGTGGCTTAACATATGGTCTGTCTTTGAGAATATCCCATGCGTATTTTAGAAGAAAGTTTAGTCTGTTGTTGTTAGGTAGAGTA